CGCCCCTCCTTCGCGCCGGCTGCTCCCGCTTCTCGCCCCCAGCCCCGTCGTTCGGTGCCGCGGGGGCCCTGCGAGGAGCCCGGCCCCGGCTGGGCCCTGGGGCCTCGGGAGCTGGTGGCGCAGCGCCCCAGGACGTCGCTGGCCAGGCGTGCGGCTTGAGAGTGCCCTGTGAACGCGCGGGAGCGCAAGGCCACATGGGGACGAAGGAAGGTTTTCCGCCACCCTCGGGCTCTGGTGGGGGGGCCTCCCTGGGCGCTGGGGCGTCAGGCACTGACTCGGGCTGAAGAGCTGGACCCGGGGAGCGCCCTGGGGTCTAGGACGCGGAGGGGGCGGCGGCGTGTGCAAAGGGGTGTCCCTCCCCCCCCCCCCCGACGGGGCGATCGAGGGTGGATGATGGTGACGATGCTGACGGTGATTCTAGTGCTGATGATGAGACAGATGTCGATGACGATGATTGTTTTCTAATGTCTAGAGTGCGAAGATGAAGCTTCATGTGAAGTTGGATTGCAAGATTATTGATCTCGTGTTTCCGATGGCCGCCCGAATTCAACGAGCTTCCGTGGGACGCCGAAAGTCGCGCGGGCCCGCTTGCGGTCGCGCCCAGCGAGACCGTAGGTCTGGCTGCTTAAAGGGAGCCACGATCCGCTTGAGAGATGTGCCGAAATTGACGCGCGGTTTCAAAGGCGAGGGGAGAGAGGGAGGAGGAGGAGGAGGAGGAGGAGGAGAAGGACGATGAGGTGGAGGAGGAGGAGCAGGAGGAGGACGAGGAGGAGGAGGAGCAGGAGGGGGAGGGAGAAGAGTAGAAGGAGAAGGGAAGGAGAGGACGGATAGGAGGGCGATCATGGTTTCGACGACGACGACGATGATGATGATGCTGCTGCTGATGATGATGATGATGGTGATGATGATGATTCTGTTTATGATGACGATGACGATGATGATGATGCTGATGCATGTGCTGATGCTGATGATGATGATGATGAAGATTGTGATGATGATGACGACGATGACGATGATGATGCTGATGCTGATGCTGATGCTGATGATGATGGTGATGATGAGAATTATGGTGGTGATAGTGGCGATGATGATGGTGATTGTGATGACGACGATGATGATGTTTATGATGACGACGATGATGATGATGGTTACGACGACGACGATGATGATAGTGATGATGATGATGATGATGGTGATGGTGATGCGATGATGATGATGATGATGACGATGATGATGATAATGATTATGATTATGATGACGATGACGATGGTGATGATGATGCTGATGCTGATGCTGATTATGATGATGATGGTGATGATGATGATGATGATGATGGTGGTGGTGGTGATAGTGGCGATGATGATGGTGATTGTGATGACGACGATGATGATGTTGATGATGACGACGACGACGATGATGATGATGATGATGCTGATGATGATGATGATGATGATGATGATGGTTACGACGACGATGATGATGATGATGATGATGATGATGATGTGATGATGGTAATGATGATGATGATGATGATGATGATGATGATGATGATGATGATGATGATGATGATGATGATGATGATGATGATCATGGTGGTTGTGATGATGATGATGATGATGATGATGATGCTACTGATGATTATGATGACAATGACGATGATGATGATGATGATGCTGATGATGATGATGATGCGGATGATGATGATGATGATGATGATGATGATGCTGATGCTGATGCTGATGCTGATGATGATGATGATGATGATGCTGATGATGATGATGATGATGATGATGATGCTGATGATGGTGGTGGTGCTCGTGGCGATGGTGATGGTGATTGTGATGACGACGATGATGATGTTGATGATGACGACGATGATGATGATTATGGTTACGACGACGATGCTGCTGATGATGATGATGATGATGATGATGATGATGATGATGATAAGGATGATGATGATGATGATGATGATGATGATGATGATGGTGATGATGATGGTGGTGATGATGATGATGATGATGATGATGAGGATGATGACGACGACGATGATGATGTTGATGCTGATGATGATGCTGATGACGATGATGCTGATGATGATGATAGTGATGTTGGTGATGATGATGTTGATGATGATGCTGCTGCTGATGATGATGATGATGATGATGGTGGTGATGATGATGATGATGATGATGATGATGAGGATGACGACGACGACGATGATGATGTTGATGCTGATGATGATGCTGAGGATGACGATGATGCTGATGATGATAGTGATGTTGATGATGATGATGTTGATGATGATGCTGCTGCTGATGATGCTGATGATGATGATGATGATGATGATGATGATGATGGTGATGATGATGATGATGATGATGATGATGATGATGATGATGATGATGATGATGATGATGATGATGGTGATGGTGATCCCGCAGCGCCCGCAGGCACTCCTCGTCTCGCACGCCTGGGGCCAGCCTTGGAACTGGGAGGGGCGAGCCCCGCCGCCGTGCGATGCAAGCTGCCTCCCTGCTCCACCTTCTGCTCCACCTTGTCCTCCCTGCTGCTCCTCCTCCTCCTCCTCCTCCTCATCCTCCCCCTCCTCTTCCTCCTCCTCTTCTTCCTCCTCCTCCTCCTCCTATTCGAACGGTACGTTACCATTGCAGCATTGCAGTGAATAAGGGCAGCGCACATGCGTGTCCTTTGGCATTTGGCTCAAGGGATCCCTCGGTGCGCCCGTTTCACACTAATTTCGGACACCTGGCTTTCAATCCACTATGCAGAACCGTGTTTTTTGTTTTTTGTGTTTTTTTGGTTTGTCTTCTCATCCACCGCTTCGCATTCTAGTTGGTAGCGGAGCACGATGTTCTGTGATCCACAACCGCCGTGGCCCGCGCGGCAATGCCTCGCGCCCACAGCGTCCGCTCTAACTACATCGGCGCCCACGTCGACCTGCTCTACATCCGCTTCGCGTACTTCAGGGTCGGCGCCGCGCCTTCAGGGGTAGGCAGGACGCCTTTCGCCCAGCCGCCAGAATCAGCGGAACAGGAGCTGCACGAATACCAGTTCAAGGGCTACCCCCTCAAGGACGGCGCCCCCCGCGACTCGGTGTCACTTTTGGGCATTTTCGAACTGTGTTCGAGATGCTCGGGGCCATTCGTCGTCACAGCACTCGCCTGTGAGCGCCGCCGTCGAGCGATCCGACTTCACGTGCACGCTGTCGGCACGCGGCCCCGAACGGTTCGCCAGTGTGTTGCGGATGCCGGATTGGGGAGAGGACAAGGACGCGCCGCCCTCATTGCATCTGTATGTGGGTGTAGCCGACCATGACAAGCAGTCTCTCGATCCGACGCTCACATCGCTTGCGTCGGCCAGGCTTTCCGAACTCTCTGCAACAACGCTGTGGAAGACAGGGGAGGCGCGTGCAGACAAGAGCGGGCCTACAAAGGATGGTCGAGCAACTATGTTGCCATTCTTCCGGGGGGCCGTTGCACAAACGTGGTGCTGCTCGTTTTCGGTGTTCTGGGGCAAGACCATCAATGTCACCTGCGCGCTTCCTGCCTCCTGGCAGACCTGGATCTAGATGCGGACTCCTTTTGACTATTGTGCAGCTGGCCCTGCTCAGTGCAGTGGCAATGTGACGCGGGACGACTTCTCTCGCCGCGAAGTGGCGCGTGCTCTGAGTGCAGTCCTCGCGCCAATCGCTCGACATAAGAAAATGCCCAAGGCTCTAATAAGGAGGTGCGCGCTGGGGACAGATGCCCGCGGCTTCGAGGAGCACTGCCAGAACGCCGCCGTTGGTGGGTGCCGGGGTGGTCGCGCCTTTCGACGCCTGGAGGGGCTCCGTTCTGGATGGAAGGCAGTCGGAGTGGGCATGATTGCTGCCGTCACGTGCGTCGCCTGCGCGGGCGCGGGCGGCCGTGCCTGGGGGCCCGAGGGGCGAGCTCGCGCGCCCTTCCGTCGCTGGCCGCGGGTGGTGATGATCTGGCCAGTGGCGAACTTAGACCTCAACGAGTTTCGCCGAGCGGCCTACGTCTCGTCTCTCTTGACCAGCATGGCTCGCGAGCAAGTGGGCGAGTGGCCGCCCGCTGTCCTCGTCTGAGGTGGTCGTATTAACGGGTGCCCGGTGCCGCCCATGACCTGCCATGTGGCTTTATGCGCAGCTTGGCCGAAAGGCGGGGCCAGCTTGGGGGGGGGGCGCGCGCGCCGGTGGTGTCGGCCCTGAGTGACTTGGGCCGATTGCCGCAGGGGCGCGTCGACAACCTCTTCGCCGTGTTCGACGTCTTCCGCAGCAGAGCAGCGCAGGCCAGTCAGCTCATGATCGGTTACGAGGGCAGCAGCTGCTCCTTGTTGCGCGCCGTGGGTGCGCCGAAGGTCCAGAGCGACGTGGCCCTTCGGCGCAGCGGCGTGGCCTGCCTGACGGACGCGCCGCAGCTGGCTTGTATGAGGGGCCCGCTGCGCAGATTTGGAGATGTGATCGCAGGCTCGCTGGGCAGACTCGCCTCGGCCGCGCGTTCGCCCCTGCGCCGAGGGTTCCCATCGGGCGCGCCCAGTCGCGACCAGCCCTCGGGGCGGCGCCGCTCCGCCGGCAGCGAGCTGCCGCCGACGGCGACGCGTCAGCATCGCCGCGGGCGGCGTGTCCAGCGGCGGGTTTCGACTCTGGCGCCAGCTCGGATACTGTCGGCTCGTTGGGCGACGAAGCCGCTGCCGACCACCCCGAACTGCGCGAAGTTCCCGCGGGGCAGCGCGGCGCGCGCCTCTATTGTGCCTGCGAGCGCGCCATGTCGCGATGGCGCCGCTTCGACAGAGACGAGCCCGCGCGCCGCGTGCGGGGCGTAAGTGCAAAGGCCGCGGAAAGGGCCGCCGCGCCGTCCTGGCCGACATGTTCGACGACGACGTTCGCGAAACCTTCGCCAGCTTCGGGGGTGGCGGGGGGCAGGGGAAGGAGGAGCGTCGGGCCAGCGATTGGGACTCGGCCGACGAGGCTACTTTCTGGGCCCAGACGGGGCTCGCCTTAAGTGGCGCGAATGCGACTCAGAGGGGCGCGTCGCGCGCGATTGCCCCCTTCTGCGCTGGCATGTGCACGCCCTTATCCTCGGCGCCCCGGCCTCGGCAGCGCCGCCGCCGCCGACGCTGGCGCCCTCGCCGCTTGCGCGCGCGGGGCACCGCGGAGCGCCTGGGGCAGCCGCTCAACAGTCAGCAACCGGTGCTTATTCGGTTCGGGCGGCCAGGGGAGCCCGTGCGATGTCCGAACCATTGGTTCTGGGGTCCGACGGCGGTGGCCCCGGGCAGAGAGCCGATCTTTGGAAGGGCGGCCAGCCGACTCCAGCTCCAGCAGCCGCGCGGCCCGCGCGGGCGCCGGTATCAACGGCAGCAGGTCCAAGTGCTGCGTCCGACGGCTCCTGGCGGGCAGTTGGCCAGAACTGGGTGGGTAGTTCGTCGTCCTCGTCGGCTTCGCCCAACCTTTGCGAGGCCGAACTTCGGCGGCTGCGCCGGGAGATGGGCGACCTCGCGCGTGCGCCGAGATTCTGCTCGACCGACGGATAGGGCGATTGCCTTGCGGGTCCGCGCGGCATGAGCGGGGCGCGCGGCGCCCGCGGCGCCCGCGGCCCTGGCGCCGTCAGCAGCGCCGCCAGCCCTGACACCGCAGCGCTAGGCTGGAATGGCCGTTGCTTTCCCGCTAGGCCCGCGGCGAGGGCGCGACTGGGTAGGCGACGTCAATGCCCGCGTCGCGGTGCCAGCTGCCCCGCTTGCCGATGTGTTGTTGCCGAGCTGGGTCTACATGCCGTCGATCTCAGCTCTCGATAGCAGCGCGCCGCGTGGGTTGGGCTCCATGGGGCCGCCGCAGTCCGCGCCGCTAGCTGTATCGCCGCCGATGCTGGAGTCTCCCAGCGATCTTGCTTTTTTCAATTAGCACGTCCCCATAGGCGTGATCCAGCCGCCTGGGAGTGGCCATGTGGTTCGCCGGTCGCGACGCCGGACAGTCCGGCGGCTCGCGATCCGAACGCGGAGGTCGGCCCCGCGCTCGACCGCGCGCGGCGACGACGCCTCTGCGAGCTCCGCAACGCCCAGCGCGCGCTCGAGCTCGTGCTGCAGCAAGACGAGCGGCGACGACGAGCCGCACAGTGTTGGACATAATCCTTCACTAATCCATCTCCTGCGCCGTCTGCCGCACCAGCTGCCCGTGCCCCCCTGTTGCGGTCTTCATCGCCTTCGATTGCAAATGTCCTTTCTGTATCGAGGCCCTCGTACATGGCGATCGAGTGGTGCGCCTGCGGTGCCGCCGCATTCTGCGCCGGGCATGCCGCCTGCAGTTTTCGCAGAACGCCGACGCCCATCTTGTGTGCTGCCCAGCGTTTCGAGGCCTTGCCGACGTCATCGCCGAATTCCGCTTCAATGTTGCAGAACGCAAGGCAACGGTTTCGGCAATTGTCTTGGCGGCCCGTGCGGCGGACTTTGCTACTCCGGGTCGATCCTTTGGTGCCGGCTCAGTTGATGCCAGAGTTGATGCCAGACGACAGCGTGCCCGAGGAGACGCTGTCGCAGCAGGGCGCCATGCAGACTCCCGAGCCAGCGCCGACACCCGGGACACCACGGCGGGATCTAATGCGGCCCCCCCGCAGTGCTTCCGGTTTTGCGCCCTCTGCCGACCGGGCAGTGCGGTTCGACGCCCTCTAGGACCTGCATGATCCGCCGTGCCGGCCGACGTTCCCGTGGTGGCCAACTTTGTCAGGTGCAGGGCCCAGTCCACCGACCGACTCACCATGCTATCTGGCGAGCGCCGACCTCCCAGGCGGCCGGCGTGGCGTCGCAGTGGATGCCGGCGGCTGGATCAAACTCGGGGGGCAAGGCTGCGCGATGAATCTAGGCGGCGCAGCCGTGAAGGCGAGGCCTCAGCCCGCGGAGGAGATGCTGACGTCCCCTCTCTATGATGCAGGAGTGGCAGTGGCGCGCGGGTTGCACAGTGGGAGGTACGCTGGTTGCCACCGGCGATAGCGTGGCCGCCCAACGCAGCATGCGCGCTCCTGCAGTGGGGGGCGACGGCTTCGATCTCCCTGCCTTTCTCGGTTAGCAATCCATGCAGTTCAACATCGGGTTGCGAATGGCCGCCAGGACAACGACACCGACGACGCGCACCAGGATTCAGCCCCAACGCAAATGCGCCAGCGCGCGGCGCACTCAGGCTGCAAGCGCTAGATTTTCACTTGCGCGGAAGGCAGTATCGTGTCCTGTTGTCGCGAGCTGGTGTCTACGGGCTTGGCCGCTCTTGTGTCGCCAGCCACCTGCGGCGGATCGCCCCGCGCTAAGGACTAGCCCTGAAGGGCATCGACGTCGTGGGTGGAGTTGTAGACCCCGACTTCCTCGGCGAGATCAAGGTGATCATGCGCGGCGCTAGCCCGCGGACGTGCGTGGTCGAGCAGGGCCAGAGGATCGGCCAGCTCATCCTGGAACGTACCAGCGCAGACTCTGACCGTGGTCGTTACTAACCTACCT